CAAGGCGATTAGGGATCGAACTTACTTTTAGGGATGGGAAGAGAAAGCGAAGCTCGATGGTCAACACAGAGTAAACAGTCCAACTGTACCTATTTACTACTTCAAGCATTCTGGTCTGATAAGAAGTGACAGCAAGATCGCCATTGCTGTCAGTTCGCAGCCGTGACCTTCAGTGTCTCCAACCATGCGGCTACTCTATCGGACCCCAACCCGGAAGACGAGACACCTACTCTACCTAATCACTGTGTGCATTACATCATGCCTCATCTCCAGACGGCTTTCACCAGCCAATGCGAAGAAGGAGCGCTGCTGCGGCAGGTGACCTTCGGAACGTGTCCTAACCAACGGAGCCTACTGAGTTGGATTCGATGCAATCGGGAGTTCTTGTTCGATGAATTCCTCAACACCCGACGACTTACTACCAAATCACTAACCCGCTCATCTCATCCCATTTCGGTTAGACCACGTAAGTAGCGATTGTGGAAAACCACCAGCTGGCATGTTTCCTACCAGCAAATTCAAGGTCCATGACGAAATGGAACAGGAATGGTAAGATAAGGCACCTTTGACGAACGCCGCTCCTGGCTTCGAGCAACTTGCTAGCCAACCGTAGACCTTTATGCTCCCCGAAGTATACGGCCAACCTGCCGAGAACGCACAATTGTGACGTTAATCGGGAGCTGTGCTGTAAGTCGGAGCTCTATTCGGTCATTGCTTTGGATGATGACTTGAGCAAACACTCAGAACCTCTTCGCATTGCCTGGCGCTCAGTTACGGCTGGTGTCCTTCCACATTGATCCACAAAACCTGACCCGGAATTACTCATACGTATGGACCCTTCCGGCGATCGTGCGCTGCGAACCGAATTCGCGTAAGACTTTCTGCCAGGGGAAAGATGTAACGCTCAATTGCAAATAACAAATTATCATGTAAAATAAACGCTTAGTAAACTGAGTACCACGACTGAGTAGTACATCCTTTTTCTTAACCATTCGACTGTTACGCATTTCCACTCCAGCCGTGGTGCTTGGGTTGCCGGAATGGACTAGATCGTTCAACTAGTGCAAACTAACACGCCACAGCCCCGTAAATCACGGGACGCAGTTTCGGACCGACACTTCATTCGGTACAAAAGAAAGCGCACAGACTGTATACCCGCTTCATTCGGACCGCTTACCGCACTAAGTGAAAATTGGTATCCGCGCCCTGATAACAGTTCTTTATCTAGATCCCATGATGAACGCGGAAAAACCGCTGAGACATTGGAATCTACGCGGTCAAGGCAAAGATAATCATAAATTGCAGACGAAAATCTTGCTTTTGGTGGTAACTCCAATGCCGCTGTTCACTTTCACAACCCAACTTTGATGTCAACTAAACCACGCATGCCTTATTGGGTTCCAAGGGACTTGAATACCTGCACAACAAACTTCGTTATTCAAATTCTTTGTAACCCGACAATGTTCATTGTATTTAGTATTAGTATTTGTTTAAACATACGCTTATATTTCAGTTAAAATGTACACTGTTCTGCTTATCGTTGCGTCTTACATGCTTTGATCGTGCTTAGAAAGCACGCGCTTTGCACCAAGCCGAGAAATATGCCGTCATTATTAATACTTGATTGATACTGCCCGTACTGTAAAAGCTTGACTATGGCTCCAGGTACCACACCGATGCAGCCCTAATTTGATTCCAACCCCACCACAACACGAATTCAATTACAGAGATGAAATAAATCAGGTGAACTGCCGTTCTCAGCCTTGCCCGTGCCACCACCACAAGAAACTGTCAATTAAAATGCTTTGCTGTTACAAAAGACCATGTCACTGCACAACTCATTTAAAACAATCACAAAACCCAGTCTCGAGCTTCCACTACCGTGTCGACGGTGTTGGCGTACTCAACTCAGTACGGCACCAATCCACGTGAATGGGTCATCATGAGAACGACGGAGCCACAGGCGCAAACTGAGTAGACCAGGGCACTAGGTTTTGGTTTTTGATTTTGAGTTCAACTCAGCATCAAATAATAAGATCGGACAGATGGATTCGATTGTGAAAGATCTGACAAACCAATATGAGGGTTAGTGACGCACCCTAATTTCGCCAAAAAAGAATCGTTTAATTTTTTCAAACACCGCATACCAACATATGAAGAAAAACCTTAGCAGATATTATCAGTTGTGTATGGCCCTATTTAGGAAAACAACCACACCCGGCGATTAACAGATTTTCTGTGAATAGCGGACAATTGAAGCAAATCAGTCCAGTCCACGAGTATACTCTAAGATCTCACTGCGGAAAACAGGGTAGTTATCGTTCCGCTCGAACACTTATCAGACAACAGGGTGGAAGCACTGCAACCTGAAATGGGGAAATAAACATTTGAGGCTGCTCTTTCAACCTTTAATACAGCAGTTCACTAGCTCCGACGACGGACCCCAATAATCAAACTCAGTCACTATCACCAGAACCCCCGAAACCCGACAATGTCAAATATTCAAAAGATCCATAAACCATTATACAAAGATGCAATTCGCATTATCGGTTCAACAAAATACCATCAAATTTGCTTTGGAACCACTTCATTGCCTCCTCCTTGGAGATGCGATGGCTTGGACCCACACGATTTTTGCAGCGGCGACTGGAGACGGTGATAATACAATAGAGGTGAACCTACCGATGGGCAACACGCGAGCCTGACCGACCGAGAATGACATAGAAGTCCATACCATAAATTCCAATGGCTGGATCATATTTAATACCCAAATCGATATGCTCAGTGAGACCGAAACCGAAGTTCCCCATACTACTGAAGCATGATTTGGGCAACTCGTATTCTTTTACCTTAAGACCCTTTTCGAGGATCTCTGAGCGATATACGGCAAACACACAACTTACCTTCCGCTTTCGGTCCACGAACTGTGCAGTGAACCGCAATTTTTTCATTACGGCGGATGGCGAAGGTTCTGATCGTCAATCGAGCTTTGCTGAACACGGGCTGTTGACCGGTGAGCTGCTCCAACACTTTTGCGGCCCGTGTGAGCCTGTCACCACTTTCACCAACGCAAATATTCAGGCACAATTTTTCAATCTTTATCTCCCTCATAGGATTGGCGGACTTCTCCTTCTTCTCTTTAGTTTTAACCACCATTGCTAGGCGAAATTAGCAGTAGACCTAACGTGCACGCGAACTGACCCGCCAAAAGCCAAGTGGAGCGTTTAAACAAGAACAACGCGAGCAGCCGAGTTTTGACCAGATAACCGTCCACAATCCACAGTAACTCCTGTTATTATTGAATTGATAATGAAGATGAATAATATGTCTAAATTATCTGTTTACAGTAGATCAGGAAAATCTTTATTTCTCTTCTTTTATCTGGTCTTGTTACTTTTTTTCAAAGAACATTTAAATTGATGTAGACAATATTCGAGAACGTGGATCAGCCACTCACAGGCAGAAAATGGTAGAATAACCATGCTGATTTGAACGTCATTCCAAATTAATGCAGTGTTTTTGAAATTGTATTCCGAGATTTCTGGTAGACTGGGTGCTTCGTTTATCTTCCCGACGGAGTTATTACATAAGAATGACATCTATTATTGTTCATTGCAGGATATTCTGGGGAATCGGTCGTTTCCATCTCCTGGTATGCACGCTAACTCGGAGACCTATGGCGCTTGTCACGAGAGCTTCCCAAGGACTGAGTCGTGCATTTGGCAAGGCGATTAGGGATCGAACTTACTTTTAGGGATGGGAAGAGAAAGCGAAGCTCGATGGTCAACACAGAGTAAACAGTCCAACTGTACCTATTTACTACTTCAAGCATTCTGGTCTGATAAGAAGTGACAGCAAGATCGCCATTGCTGTCAGTTCGCAGCCGTGACCTTCAGTGTCTCCAACCATGCGGCTACTCTATCGGACCCCAACCCGGAAGACGAGACACCTACTCTACCTAATCACTGTGTGCATTACATCATGCCTCATCTCCAGACGGCTTTCACCAGCCAATGCGAAGAAGGAGCGCTGCTGCGGCAGGTGACCTTCGGAACGTGTCCTAACCAACGGAGCCTACTGAGTTGGATTCGATGCAATCGGGAGTTCTTGTTCGATGAATTCCTCAACACCCGACGACTTACTACCAAATCACTAACCCGCTCATCTCATCCCATTTCGGTTAGACCACGTAAGTAGCGATTGTGGAAAACCACCAGCTGGCATGTTTCCT